CTGAACATGAGCCAGCAGTGTGCTCAGGTGGCCAAGAGGGCCAATGGCATCCTGGCTTGTATCAGGAACAGTGTGGTGAGCAGGACCAGGGAGGTGATAGTGCCCCTGTACTCGGCACTGGTGAGGCCACACCTTGAATACTGTGTTCAGTTTTGGGCCCCTCACTGCAAGAAGGACATTGAGGGGCTGGAGCATGTCCAAAGAAGGGCAATGAAGTTGGTGAAGGGCCTAGAGAACAAGTCATAGGAGGAGCAGCTGAGGGAGCTGGGGTTGTTTAGTTTGGAGAAGAGGAGGCTGAGGGGAGACGTTATTGCTCTCTCCGACTACCTGAAAGGAGGTTGTAGGGAGGTGGGGGTTGGTCTCTTCTCCCAAGTAACAAATGATATGACAAGAGGAAATGGCCTCAAGTTGTGGCAGGGGAGATTTAGATTGGATATTAGGAAAAATTTCTTCATGGAGAGAGTGGTTAGGCATTGGAACAGACTACTGCCCAGGGAAGTGTTTGTCTCCCCATCCCTGGAGGTATTTAAAAAACGTGTAGATGTGGTGCTTAGGGACATGTTTTAGAGGTGGACCAGGCAGTTAGGTTAACAGGTTGGAATCGATGATCTCAGAGGTCCTTTCCCACGTTAACAATTCTATGATTCTACGATTCTGTGAATTCTTTCTTGTGTTTGAAGTTCATAAATGTTCAGAATCTGCCTCAGATTTAAATAAATATATATATATGAACTCTTCTGTATTTCTGAAAAGTGAAATGAATAAGAATTTATTGTCAAAAGCTAGTGAAAACAGTGAAGTTAGATGGTTTATATGGTTGCATTTTGCTGGTAGATCTGTTCCCATCTTCTTCCTTAGAGTTGGGCAGGCATCCCCTGTTGCACAATAGTGGCTCTTCTCTCTGAAGCTCTAATAGCAATAGATTACTTGGTGATGGAAATAGATTACTTATCAACAGATTGGTTAGTGTTGGAAAAATTGTGGTAACCATATTCATCAGAGAAGACATGGATGCCAGAAATAATATTAGTTATCTCATGTTGCCTGAATGAAGGAGTAATCTTAGGGCAAGGCTAAAAGATAACATTCTGGAGGTCATTTAATAACAGAGTTTGGAGATGTGTGTGTTAATTGTACCACAGTTGTACTGCTGTCATTCAACATACCAGTATGGAATAATTGAAACTGCAGATTTTCATGCTTTCCTCTGTGGGATGTTTTTTCTGCGTTCTTTAGTTATTTGCCTTTCTTCAAATATACTGAAAATTTCCTTTCCAGTACTTGGTGTGTTTTCTCCAAAAAAATTATGTAGTTACATTCTTCAAGGTTCCTTTTTTCCAGTTCACACTTTGCTGTCTAGAATCCAATGAAATATTCTGAGTTGTTAAGACTTAGTTTTCTGATTTTCTTTCTCTTATCGTTCATCTTTGCAAGGCAGAGAGCTCTCACTGCTGTGGCCTTAAGCTAATTCTAATGCAGATACTGCATGTGAAAATCTATTGTAAATAAGAACGTTTTTAAGAACCTGAAAGAATAAACTGCGAAGCCGTTGAGCCATTAATTTTGAGATGCCATGTAGTACATATTGTTTCCTACCACCAGTTAACAGAACAGTTCTATGGTGCCTGAGACTTGAGGAATGTTTATTCATTTTAGTTCCTCGCCCCCCTGGGGCTCCTCATTCTTAGCAGCTTCTCAGTGCAGCAGCAACTGAGTTCTGGACAAAACTGAAGCGCAGTTTATGTGGACTTAAGCGCTCTTACTGGTGGAGTTCTGTGAACCTCATAGTTCTCTTCAGGTGCAGCAAAATCCAAAATCCATTAAGTATCACCATGTACAATTCACTGAAGTGAACTGCTTTGATATACTCCAGAAAGTATATTTTCTTAGTCTCATTTCTTTTCTGTGAAAGGCCTGTCTAGCTGTAGGAATTCTTCATATCTTTTCAATGGAAATGCATTTGTCAATGATGCAAGATCAAGAAATCAATATATCAGTGTACAGCTGGGCTAAATATTGTAAATGATCCATTAACAAAGAGAAAAAGACATCTTTGAACAAAAATTAATTTTGTCTTTTACCCAGTTTATAACTTTGCATCTTTAGTGAAAAATCAGGCCATAATAAAAGCTTGAAAAGCCTCTATCCCCAACTGTCAGGAGAAGAAAGGTAGTATTTTCCTCAATCTACTTTAATTTGCTGGCTAATGTCCAACACTGAAAATGGTTTGAACATTTTATTACTGATCTCTTGGTTTGGGAAATCTGTACCTGCCCTTTAATGTTTTTATAGTGTGTGACAAAACTAATCTACAGAATTACTTGTATATTAGTACATTAAGTATGGATGGATCTGATGCTCTATATTGCATTGAGTTGGAGTGAGGGACCTTATGACATTTGTAACTTCCACTGAAAACAGAGACAGTATTTTCATGGACTTTGCTGGGAGTTTAGTACAAATATTTAGGCTTAGTGTACTCTTAAATATAGTTATATTGACATTCATGTTTCTGGGAGGCTAGCTATTCCTAAAGTGATGTATTTATTGGTAAAAAAGATTGTGAAAAGATCTCTGCTTTCTAAGTGATTGACCAAGGTAATCTCTGTCTGAGAAATGCATTATAAGGACTTTATATAGCTGTATCTGTTAGCATGAGAACTAGGAGATCACGAACTCAGGAACTGAACAAGCTTATAGTGAATTTCTTAAGTAGGAATCAAAACCTCATGCCAACTATAAAAACAAATAATATCCAGAGCATCATCATATAGGAGCGTGGACAAGACAGGCCAAGCTGCTAACCAAAACTGGTCTCAAATTCTTTGAGTGCTTTGAAAGTTGTTTAAATAATATTTTCTGTTTATTTTATTAGTTTTTGTGGTAGAGATATGGAGGATTTTCAACTAAAAATTAAGATTAAATATTAAAATGCTTCTTTCTGCCATTGTGGTTTTTTTTTTTTTCTCTAAAGTGAAAAATTTACCAAATACATTTCAACAAAATATTTAAACTTATTTTAGTGTGCTTTTTTAATGTAAGCTAATGCCCTTGATTCTCATATGCTTTTTCTTTCTGCTTTTCACATGGACATTGCAGTCTTTTTCACATAATTCTAAATAAAATGGACTGTTACTTTAATGGAATTACTTTAATCAAAAAACACAGGATTACCAGAAAAAACCCGCACAGTTCATTTTATTAATGTCCTATTTAAAATTTTTAAAACAGAACTTAATTAACATGTAACTAAACTAAGTAAAGATGTACTTATTCTTGTTAGAGATTGCTGACAACAATAATATCCATCTGTAATATTTTTTCTCCCTGCTGCCTGGCAAAGGGATAGCTAAATAAAAGAACTAGTTCCTTCTATGAAAAAAGGAATACTTAAGAGAGTATTTAACTTCCCAATTTCTTTAATTTGTTATTTAAGAGTAACCTCTATACGTTCATTAAACTTGCTTTGTATAGCCATCCTATTTCGGATTCAAGGTAGGTGTCTTAGCCCATTTTTTTTTTTTTTTAAATATGTCTTCAACAACTGCAGAAAATGTTGTCACTAATTTTCAAGGCCTTTTTTTACCATGGAACTGAATAGGATGACATTTCTCTGAAATACTCAATGCCATTAACTCATTAGACTCATTTATTTCAGGGAAATTTGTTTGGTACCACTAATCTGAAAGTAGCATGGCATACAGAATGCATGAGTCTGGAGAGACAAGAGGAGAAACAGACAGACATTTTTCCTGTTTTCCTGTAAGTATACTTCC